CTAACAAAAAAATCAAGAGAGAGAGAGAGAGAGAGAGAGGAATCACCTCAAATTCTTTGACATGTGAAGTGACTGTGGGTGTACCATAAAACTAATGTCAAACTGACTTGAGCCTAATAATTGACACCTCTCTTCCTCTAGAAATTCCATGCGTGGGAATCCAGATTGAGATATTAGTAAATTCATAATCAGATTCCACAACAGATCATCTTCATAGCACCAACATGTTGTGCAACTGGACAAAAAACCATTGCCATGTTCTCTCCTAAGATCAACTCATTAATTTCAATACATAAAAATCCAGTTTGTGGCCCACTGGAATTATTGTTGCTCCAGTAATACTGCAGGGTCAAAACCTTTTGCCAACTTTGCAGAAGGTCTAATCTGACAACAATCTTGGCAGAAGGAGGATCAGAGCATTTAGAGAAACATCACTCATCGATGAACTAAAAGTCATTGCCTTTCTTCTATCATATCCCAGTTCATATTCTGTCTCTCTCAGAAAAACTGCAACACAAGTGCATCTCTTCCCGCTAATGTCACTGACGATCGATCCATAAGCAATTACTGAAACAGCACCTTTTACCAGTTTCCATAAATGTGTCTACAGTTTTTAAGAGTCCTAGCTTCAGATCTTATCATGAAGCAAGTACCTTGAGATGTTGTAGATAGATATCCTCGGAAACTTTCCTTCAATACAGAAACTGGGGCCAACAGAGGTTGTCTTCCACCTTATCCTTCTATTCTATGTTGTTAATATCACATTGTCTAATTTGCTAAATCTTGTGTTGCTTGCTCTAATTTGCATCTACTGTTCATCCTCGACTCACCACATCTTGAATTCAGCTTACTAGGAAAAAAAAGGCTCGAGTTAAATATATTGTTGGCACTACCTAATACAGCATTTTATCTAGTAATAAATGAGTGGTTTTTGAAGTTGGAACATTCCAAGCTTCTTAACCTTCAGCAAATGCAGGTCACATATGTTCTTATTCAGGTTGGAATCATCAGATATAGTGGCAGAACAACTCCAAGAAAAAAATGACAAGCAAAAGCACCTCTATCTACTGCCAATATGGTCACCATCCAATAATTGGAGGATCAAATGGCTACCAGTATCTTAAAAGGTAAATGTTTGAATTGGTTTCTTCTGTGGGTCACCGAGGGGATAACAAGTAAGTAAAAAGAAAATGGTGTGCAGTTCTTACTTGTCCATTGTAGATGGTGACATTGATTCCCAGGGAAAGAAGCTCATCAACCTGCAAGAGTAAAAGTCGATTGCATTGGATATCATTTCCCTAATGTACTTGCTAAGGTATTTAATTTTGGGTGGTGGTCTACCTCCTTGATTCTTGGCTTCATGAAATCATTCGAAAGAGAATCAAACACAAGACCGGACTGTCCTCCCCAGCTGCAAGATCAATATTTGGTCAATTAAGCCCGTGTTTGATCTAATGCCATGAATTCGATAGCTTGTGTTCTCGGAATTGATCATAAAATTCGAACATACCTCACACTTTTTGGAATTATCTTCAGCTTTTCTCTGATGACACCATTCATGAAGCTTGAAGTATCAACAGCGGAGGTGGCAGCCTTGGAGCTCAGATATGTTGCATATGTCTCCATTGTCAGCTTCCTTGATTCCTGGACCTCCGTCTTCAACAGTGGATCACTCGCCGTATCCAATAAGAAATTATAGAAATCCTGTAAATTGAATTTTCGGTACAAACTCATGAACAATCTGGACTGGAATTAATTGAAATCAACTTGTTTCTGTGTTCAACACTTGGAAAGCAACTCACAACATCATTACTGGCAGAACTGATGAAGCCCTCCAGCTGTCTCCATGAGTTCGTCGCGTCAACATTTCGACCTTCCTTAATCTCTTGTCTGATCCTTTCAGCAATACTGAAATTTTGTAACATTGCGAATCAGATCAGAGCACATCATGTAGGCAAACTAATCGATCGCTCCTTAAATTCAAAGAAGAGTACACGTTTGATTTCTCTGCATCTCTAACGTCAAGCCTTGAGACATCTCGAAGCAGAGGTCCCCAGGAGAACTGCATCACAAAATCATAGGAAAGAGGAATCATAATTTGGTGTAGAAATGGAATTATATCTTCTTAAGACAGCAAGAATCCATGAAGGCTTACCACATAATCTTCTGGTGACATCCAGCTATCAGCCAAAGCAACACCTGCTCACATACATCAAGTCACAGGAAATTGTATTCTTCCTTGATCTCAACCTGTGTAAGATGTGAAATAGAGAAGAGACTACCTCCAAGCTTGAGCTTCAATTCGCCGGCTTTAATGGCTTTGTGGATCGACAAGCCGACGGTCGCCGCAAACTTCCCTCCATAAGACTCTGCCACGATGAAGAGTGGGCTCTTCTGCCATGACTTGTTCTGGCCGTAGAGCTTCTTGAGAAGAGTAGTCAAGTCGACTGCTGCCTCCACATCGGTCTTCACGAGGAGGCTCTCGTCCTCCACATAGCTGAATCCTGTTCCTACCGGATTGTCCTGCGTTTTCCATGCAGCAGAAGGAAGAAGATGAAGCCACAACAACAATGAGAACAAGTCGGAGATCGGGTAGAGGACTCACGACAAACAGAAGGTCTGCCTTGTGCAGCCATGTCGAATTCCGAGGCTTCAAACCCGTGTCCAATGGCCCGATCTCTTGGAAATTGCCAATGGCCACACCAGAGCCTCCCTTTCGCCATGGAAAGCCACAGCCATAGATCAGAATTCAGGTACTTAAGAGTCGCTTACAACAGTTGCGTCGAAGGAGACTTACAGGTCCACCCTGCAACCACAGCACTGTCGGCCACGGAGTGGAGCCACCGTCGACTCTTTGCGGGCTCCGGTAGTGCCACCAGAACATGCGCGCCTCTGCAGTAGAATTCAGCGCTCAACAGTGATCAAACGCAGAGAACGCAAGCAAATGGAGGATGAGGAAATTACTCGGTCGGACTTCGACGTAACCCCAATTCTCAGATCCATCGGCAGTGCCAGCGGCGATGGCGAGCTCGAAAGAGAGAAGAGAACAACACAGGAGCAGCAGCAGTTGAGTAGAAACAGCAGAGGAAGACTTCGCCATCATAAAGAAGAAGAGTGTTAATGAGTCGATGAGATCCACCAAACCAACAACTACGTAGAGAGCAAGGAAGAAGGTATCGAGAACTCCTATAGCTACAAGGAAGCTGATGAAACCACAGAAAACAACCACAACCACACACACACACACACACATATATATATA